GCTCGCACGCCTCACTGCACCAGTGCCAGCCAGTGCTGGCACCCGGCCCACTGCTGGGGCACGGGGCTTGCTCAGCTGCAATGTCACCTCTTTAGCAGTGCCACGAGGTGCTGCAGTGCTGTGAATGTCATGGGCCTGGGGCCTCAGAAGCCCCCGGCACCACAACAGCCCTGCATTTGCTGCTTCCCATTTCCCTGCAAAACAGGGCTCTTCCTGCTAATGCCAACAGGTGTTTTCCCGCTGGCAGGAGACATTCAGGTACCCCAAGCAGCATGTCCTCACACTGGCTTCTAAGGCTCAGCTTGGTTGATTTTGCTTTTCTCTTTCCTTAAGCACATTTTTAGGCACAGAATCTCACCAGTGACTCTCAAGAAGCCTCCATGGGCCCCAATGATACCTAAGTTCTCTGTTCACCCAATTTAACCCTTTTTATCTAGTGCAGCTTCCCAGGTGTCACACCTGAGCTCCTTCCAGGCTTCTCCATCCCCCTTTCATTTCAAGAAGAGTTGGGCATTCTGGGTTCCTAATAAAAAAGTCATTGGTGCTACATGGTGTCATTCGAGGTGACCACAGGTCACTGTCCTGATCCCTCAGGGCCGGTGTCAGGGCAAGCTGTGTCCTGTGCATCCTACTCCAAGCCCTGCTAGCCCCCCTGCCCTGCCAGCACACCATTTCCAGCCAGGCACAGTGCGGAGGGATGCTCTTTCAACATGGAGATCATCTGTCTGTTCAGTTATCTGCTTTGGGGATCGTTTATGTCCCTGCCTGTGTCAACTGTTCCCATGGCTTTCAGACCTGCCCAGCCCCATTGTCACTGCTCGGCTGCCTGGGTGCAGGCAGGCGTGAGTCATCCCTGCCTGTCCTTTCCCACTCCAGCCTTGTCTCCATGGTGGCCCAGACCACCAGCCCGGTCCAAGGCTCCCACCTCATTTCACCTTGGCTTCTGTAAAATCTGCAGGTTCCTTGCATTCCATGGACAGCTCCAGGTGTCCAGGTGGACACCTTTCTTCAGCACTTGGCTTTGTCTCTGGTGCCCTTTGCTTTGCAAGTGGCCCTGGCATCCTTCCCACCCACCCTGGCCTTCTTGCCCCCCTTGAAGGAGATCCGGGACCCCCACCCTGCTCCTGTGCTGGCCCTCCACCGCTCTGCCCAGGCTGCAGGGAAATGCCCCTGTATGCCACATTGTGCCCAGGGCTGCCCCCAGGGCTGTGTCCCCACCCCCTTGGGGCATCCCCAGGGACACGGTCCCCTCTGTGGCTGGGGTCACTTACGGTCCAGAGATGACAATGACACTGCGCACCCGGTCGAAGCCGCGGTCAGCCAGGTTCAGGCACTCGGCGGTGAACTCCATCTGCCTGCCCTGGAAGTTCTCCTGGTCAAAGACGACGATCTGGGGGTACAGGAAAAGGGTCAGATGGGAACAGGCATGCTCAGGGAGAGCAGGGTGGTGCTGTGTGTCCCTGCACAACCCTGCACACATGAGCCTACTGCCCCACGTGTCCTCCTCGGCTCTCCAAGCCTTCCTGCAGCTTTTCAGCTCTGGTGCCCAGGCAAGCCGAGCTGGGCTCTGTGTATGAGCAGCTCTGTCACAGCACAGACTGAACACAGGAAGGTCCCGCCTGACAGCTGTCCCTGGTCCAAGATGGCCTCATCCAGCTCCCATTTTTGATGCTGCAAAGCCACATCTCCCTGTGCCGGTGCCCAGGTTGCTGGGAAGAAGCTGCTTCTTCCAGAGCTGCATCCATGCCGTGGCCTTTGCTACCTGGCACATGCACAGTGTCACCACAGTTCTTGCATCACTTGCCCCTCATCCCCAGCCCCGCTGCAGTGCCTCGGTGGCATTCTGCCCTAGAATCACTGTAGCATTTCAGTGCTGGCCCTGTCACCTACAGTGTCCCCTCCACCCTCCCTGAGCACCACAGAACCCCCACGTGCAGAGGGTGACCAGAGGGAGCAGTTGGCAGCAGCCAGTCCTGATGCCACAACCCAGGGGACAGCATTTCCAAAGCCTGTGGTCCCCAATGGTCACTGATGAGCTGTCCTGACCAAGGGACTCCCAGAGTGTCCCTCCTGCAGCAGTTGCCCAAATCCTGTGCCTGTGCCAGAGGGACAGAGCAGGGAGGGATGGTGGCACCTGCGCTCACATCCTGCTCTGGGAGGGGGGTCCTTCCCTGTGGGATGATCTCCTCCTGCCCCAGAGATGCTGCCACTGTCCTGCAGCCCCGGAGTGTGTCCTGCGCGTGGGGAGCCGCGGCGCTTACCCTGAAGGCTTCTGGGGAGGGCTCCTCGCCCTTGCTGTTTGCGACAGGAGCAGGGTCAAGGGATGGAGTTGGCGCAGGAACTGCCTTCTCCTTCTCCTCTGCAGCCTGTCCGGGAGCAGTGGGTTTTGTGGTCTCAGACATCGCGGTGGTGGGCTCAAGTCTGTGACAGGGCACCAGCAGCATGTTAGAGGAAGGCATGGTTGGGGCACCCACCACCCGCCCCAGGGATGGTGACATCAGGATGGGGTCTCTCAATGGGGTGGGTGGCCAGGGCCAGGAGAGGAGCCGCTGGAAGGTTCTCCAGCAGGCACAGGCAGAGGATCTGCCTTCACCAGGAGGATTGCATGAGGTTCTGGTGTCCACACTCTCCTTCTGTGGTCAGAAGATCTCTATCACTGCAGAGGTCCTACCACTGTGGGGGTGCCCAGGGCAGCCCCCAGCTCTGTGTCCAGGCACTCCCTGCTCTCCCTGGCCAGGCTGGGGCCTGACACTGCGCCGGACACTGGGGCCATCCTGCACGGGGTGCGCATGGGAGCCCAGGGGGCACGGGGTCAGCATGTGAGGAGTGGGAAGGGGACAGCCCTGGTCTGCTGAGGCCCTGCAGCAGGCACCCTGCTGTGGCCCTGCAGGTGAATGTCACCAGCAGCTCCCCAGGGAGAGGAGGGCAGTGGGATGCTGAGCACTGAGGTGCTCCCAGACGTGATGACCACAGCAATGGCCATGGCTTAGACCCTGCATTTCCCTCTCCCCACCTCGGGTCCGGCTGCAGCCCGGTGCCCGGGGACTTTGTCCTCTTACCTGGGCAGCTGCTGCTTCTTGTTGGAGTGAGCGGGCTTGTGTTTCGGGGCGCCGCGAGGCCCCCACTTTATAGCCTGGCAAGGGCAGACCCCCGGGCGGGCGCACAAAGGAACTGCCAGCTCATCAGTGTCTGCGCGGCCGCCCAGTCATCACATCCTGCAAAGCGCTGGGCGAGCTGGAAGCCTCTCCCCGGCCCCGTGCCCAGCCGCTGAACCCAGCACTTTCCTTTGTGCCCGCGGCACAACAGAAGACCTGACCGTGCCACTTTGCAGCGCGCGGCGGCACCCGCTGCCCCGCGTGCGGCAGCCCCGGCAGGGCATATATAGCCCTGGCACGGCCAGGCCAGCGCCGGCACCGGCACAGGCACAGGCACACTGCCCTCCCCTGCCCACCGCCCCTGGCACCAGGCTCGCACGGACGCCCCAGTGCCACTGCTGCCGCAGCCCCACAGCGCCCAGCCTGCAGCCATACTGTGCCCATTTCTCCCCTCCAAACACTGAACCTCTTGCTTTGAACATCACTCTGTGCCCTTAAGTGCCTGCAGCAGTGCTCTGAAGATGCCAGAAAGTGCGACCTGAGTGTTCTGAAATGCTTCAGAAACTGTTTTTTTTCTCAAATGATGTGTAATTGAAGATGACACTTTCTGAACCATCTGAGTGCCTGAAAATGGAAAATGGTGTTTACTCTCTGTTGGGAATGTCCCTGCTCACTGGCAGGGCTGTTCTCTTGCTTTTTAGCCCATTTGCCCCGTGCTGTGCTCCCCCTGTACCACCCCTAGTTTTGCCACCACCACACTCACGGTGCCAAACCCCATACAGTGTTTTGGGGCATCAGCTGTCTGACTGGCACAGGAGAAGGGTTGCAGGGTGGCTGGATGGGGACATGCCAGCACTGGGCTCTGTGGCAGATGAGCCTGAGGTGCCACTTCTCCTGCACCCCATGGTACCTTGGGGAGACCTTCTCCTGAGTTCCTCTGAGCCTCTCATCAGATCCTCTCCCTGTTTGCCTGCTGTGATCCTTTTCATCCTGTAAATACCTGCACACTCCTTTGGAACACCCCCAGCTTCCCGCAGCATCCAGCATCAGTGCTCCTGGGCAGTACCTCACCCGAGGGTGTGTGGTCAGAGAGTTCAGAGCCCTGTGTTTTGCCCTCATCTTTTGTTCCCCTCGTGTGTCACCCAGCAGCAGTGGGATCCAGCTGTGCCCTCTGGGCTATTGCTCAAAATCCCTAACAAAAAGGAAGTATTGATCCGCTCTTTTCCCGAGGTTTTTTGGCGGCCGCGCTGTGCCCATGACGAGGCTGGGTGTGGGGGCTGCTGCCCCATTACCCTGGGCACTGCCACAGTCTGGTTCTCACCTGGACACTGGGCAGTGGTTTAGGATTCATGATTTCAATTGGCACCATGGATTTTACCCGGCTTTCTAATTTAACCTGCCCTCTCTTCCTCTGGGAGCCAGAGTGGATGTTCTACCTGACTGCCTCCCCTGTGCCTCCTGGGCATTAATCAGCAGGTCTCACCCACCCCCTGCTCCTGACTCTGCTTCCTCTTCCAAATCCCAGCATCTTTGAAACTGGGTATTGGGAAAACATTTCAGAGGGACTGAGCTCTGCTCCTGATGGCTGCTCTGTGCTGCTCCACATTACTCTGATCACACAGTAGCTCTATGGTTTTCCTGAGCCAGTGCTGTGGCAGGGCTGACAGCAGGGATCTGTCCTCAGTGGTTCCTGAGCACCCCAGACACAAAATCTCTGCCCTCCCTGTGCACCATCCCTGCCGCTGGCTGCAGGTGCTTTAGAAAGCCCCTCTCTGCTCCATCCCACCCTGGCACGGGGGTGCCTGTGGGATGCGCAGCTCCAACAGCAAAGCACAAGGCCAGAGCTGGCACAGCAAGGCTGCAGAGGGCATGGGAATGGGCACAGGGGTTTGTTCTGCCCCGGTGAGTTCCACTGCCCACGGAGCTCCCGCTGCTGTAGCCCTGCCCAGTGCTGAGTGGCACCATGGGTACACCCGGCACAGCCCAGCTCTGTGGCCACATCCCCGTGCCAGGACATGGCATGGAGAGCAAGCGCATGGTGGTCACTGTGCTGGTGGCCAGCACAAGCTAAGTTTAGCTCAGGCCACTGTAAGAGGTTGGGGACAAATTGTGCCAAAAGGCTTTTGCTGGGGTTGCAGATGTCGGGACAGCCTGTGCAGCCGTGGTGCAGCCGGGGATGGCTGCTTGCATTGAGCCCCCCAGGCTGCTGTGCTCGCCTGCTCTGCCTCCCCCGCAGCGCCCAGGGCTGACAGGGCTGCAGCTGCACGAAGGATGCTCCAGCTCAGCTCCCTGGCAGTTTCCTGGCAAATGCTGTCCCAAAACACAGCTCTCTCTGGGAATATGAGTTTTCTCACTTGACCTAACAGCCTCCATTGGCTGCTGCCTGCTCTGAGGCGCAGGCTTGGGTGGATGCCTCTGCCCAGCCCTCGGAGCCCTGGCACGCTCCTGACACCACCCCGGGGTGATTTATGAGGTGTGGGGGTCACGGTGAGTAAAGCTAAAAGGTATTTAGGTTCCCAAAATGCAGGTGCAGCAGACTCTTTTCAGTGCACAGAGGCAGGAGGCTGCTGCAGCAGCAGCCCAAAACATGACCTACACCTCCAGTCCCTCACATGCCTTTGCAAACCCACCCCTCACTTCCCATGCCCTTGGTCCCTGCTTGTTACAGTGTCCATGGCTGCTGTGTGCCCACCCTGCAATGAACTGCCCTGGATTTCAGGGAGAGCTGTTCTGCCCTCCCAGGGAGAGCAAGTACAGACGTGTCCTTCCTCCCACTTCCCAGAAATGGGTGAGGAAATCTCCCCGCGCCCCCAGTGCAGGCAGTGCTGCCTGCAGGCAGGAGGAGCACTGCCAGAGTGGGAACACGGCCCCAGCTCAGCCCTGCGCTGGGGAGGGCACGCTGCAGAAATGCTGGCAGACCCGGGGGGCAATGCCCCGGCTCTGGAGCTGTGGGGCCGGGGGTCAGAGCCCACGCCCGGTGGGCCCGCTCGATGTCCCGGCTCATCAGCGTCTCTGACACGTTTCCTTTGTTCTGCCCGGTCCCTCCTCCCCGCCATGTGCTGAGTTAGGGGTTTCAGTAATGCTCCCCTGGGCTCTGTCTCTATCTGGAGGCTATAAAAACCCAGCCAGAGGCTGCGGGACGTGTCACCTCCCTGGGCACCAGTGCCTCACCCCAGGTAAGCGCCAGAGCCTGGGGCAGCTGCCCTGTCACCGTGGCTGGGGCCTGGGAGCAAGCAGTCGTGGGAACACGTGGAGGAGCATCCAAGATCTAGGGTTAGACCTCACCTTGGCACAGGAAGCAGTGGCAGTGGATTGGGGGACTGGGGGCTTGGGAGACTGGGGAATCAGGGGTCATCGCTGGCCATGGCAGTGGCAGGGTGCTGATACTCAGTGTGGGCACATGGCCACCTCCGCAGCACTCCCAGCTCAGCACTCCTCTGCCTGCACCGGCTGCATGCACGGGTGCTTTGGCTCAGGGATCTGCCAGTGGGAGGAGTCTCCCCGGGCATGGGCAGGCAGTGCTAGGATGGCTGCCAGGGCCAGGTGCCCACTGCTCTGCACAGCCCAGGCAGCAGCTCTGGGTGGGCAGGGAGAGCCCCAGCCCATGCTTTTCTGCTCCAGCAGGAAGCAACCCCCTTTTTGCCCCCCACGCTTCTGGTGAAGAGATGTGCGTGGGCTCCTGAGGGTGTTTCATCTGGGCAGAGGGGCAGTTTTGACAGTCCTGTTCCCCTGTGCCCTGGCAGAGCCACCATGACCCACCGCTGCAAGAGATCCTCCGGTCTCTGGAAGGTACAGGAGCCTGGGCAGTACCAGCACCACACCCTGTGAACATCTGGGAATGGGGCTGCAGCATCTACTCAGGGCCTCCGCATCCCCGGAGCCCCCTGACTCCCTCCATCCCCCCCCCAGATCGCGGTGTGGGATGAGCCTTTTTTCCAGGGCAAGAAGCATGAGTTCACCACCGACTGCTACAGCACCCTGGATCATGGCTTCAGCACCGTCCGCTCCTGCAGGATCGAGAGCGGGGCGTGAGTGGGGGTCTCGGGGCACTGCTACCTCGCGGTGCCGCGGGACCCCATGGATGGAGGGGGGTTGGGGGATGGAGGTATCCAGTGCCTTTTGCCACCTGAGCCATGGGGCCGCCTCCTCTGGACACCCGTTGTGCGCAGCGGGCACAGCCCTGGCTGTGAGTGGGGCGGTGGGCACCCCGAGGGTCTCAACCCCCTCCCGCCCCGGTAGGTGGGCAGGCTTCGAGCACTGCGGTTTCCAGGGGCAGCAGTTTGTGCTGGAGCGCGGCGATTACCCGTGCTGGGAGGCGTGGAGCGGCAGCAACGCCTACCACGTGGAGAGGATGTGCTCCTTCCGCCCCATCGCCTGCGCCGTGAGTGCCCCCGCCCCGGCTCCCCCCGCGGGGCCGGCCAGGTGAGCCGGGCAGGGCGGCCGTGCCAACACCGTGCTCCTCTTGGCCGCAGGACCACGGGCGCAGCCGGCTGATGCTCTTCGAGCAGGAGAACTTCCAGGGCAAGCGGGCAGAGATGAGCGACGACTGCCCTTCCCTGCCCGCCCTTGGCTGGGGCAGCAGCACCGTGGGCTCCTTCCTTGTCCGCTCCGGCGCGTGAGTACCCGGGGGCTCGCACCCTGCCAGGACCCAGCACCGAGGCACGCGGCGGGGCCGAGGATGCTCTGGCAGCTTCTGGCACCCACAGCGCGGGGGCTCCATGGTGCTGCCAGCCCTGAGCCACCGCCGTTCTCTGCTCTGTCACAGGTGGGTCTGCTCACAGTACCCGGGGTACCGAGGCTTCCAGTACCTCCTGGAGAGCGACAGCCCCGCAGGCGAATACAAGCATGTGCGGGAGTGGGGCTCCCACGCACAGACGGGACAGGTCCAGTCTATCCGCAGGGTCCAGCAGTAACCGCGGTGCCGGAGCCCCTGCACCACCGGCCACGTGCCCTGGGCACCATCTGTCCCACGGGGCAGTGGGGGCAAAACTCAATAAAGGCTCAGTTGTCCAAGGCGGCACTGGCAGTTGGGGAAGGGGGGACCATGAGGGTGTGTGGTCGGGAGTGATGTCATGTGTGGAGGCAGAGTGGGGGGTCTGCAGGGGCACGGATGGAGTGAGTGGGATCTTTTCTGCCCCTGCAACCAGCACATGTCCCTGTCACAGGCAGGTAAAGCCCTGTGCCAGCCCAGCTGCAGGCTCAGGGGCTCTGCAGAACCCCCACATCCCACTACGCTATATACCCCATCTGCTCTACCAGCACCTGCCAGGGGCTGGAAGGAGCTGCAGGACTCAGCAAGTGCAAGTGCAGGTGCATGCTGTGCACCTATCCCCACATTCATGCACACCCCTGCACCCATCCGAGCACTGATCCCTTACTGCCCTGCGCCCAGTGCACAGCCAAAGCTGGAAATGTGGCAGGAAAAGGCTGGTCTAGAAAAATTCCTCATTTCGGAAGAGCTCTGGAGAAAAGGTTTGATGTGATGAAAATGTGCCATCCATGACATTTGCAGTAGCAGGGCCACCAGTGGAGGGAATGGGGAATACTTCCCAGAAAGGGATTCTAGGGATTCTATCCGCTGGAATCACAATAAAAAAGGCAAAATAGAAGAAGAAACAAAAAGTTTTGGGAAGGGCTGAGTGAAACCCTCCTGCACCCCAGGGCAAACCCGTCCAGGGCCAGCAGCCAGCGAGACCCAAGGAGTGGAGCTTCCTGGCCTCTCTATGGCCAAAGATGGGGGGGACCCCTGTCCTGGGCCCCCTTCCGACCCTGCCTAGCTCCTGAGCCCCAGGGTGGGGCAGGGGGCTGGGTGAGGATCCAGCACACAGCCAGACACGGTGGACAGCTGGCAGAGGGACTGGGGGTCCCCAGGGACCCGGCAGGGACCTGGAGAACAATGCAGGAGCCCAGCAGCTGCACAGCTCTGAGGAGGGGCTGTCACGGCCCTCTGACCGGGAGTGGGGCTGTCCCCGGGATGGAGGGGCTGTCCTCCGGCAAGGCTGTGTCCCCAGGCCGGGCTGGGTCTCTTGCCATCCCCCCTACCGAGCCCAGCCACATCCTGCCCACCACGGCCCCAGGGATGTGCCCGCAGCAGCCCCTGCCCAGCGACCCGTGTCCCCTGGGCCACCCCAGGGCTGTGGGGTGCCCACACCACCCCAAAGGGCTGTGGGGAGCCTGTGACACCTCGGGGGACGGTGTCCTGGCAGGGGGCATGACAGTGGCCTTTCTATCGGCTGTCGTGGCAAAGGGGTCCCCGGGGTCTCCCGAAGCGGGACCGGTGCAGAGAAGTGCGGGAAGGGTGCGGGGAGCGATGCGGGAGCAGTGCTGGAAGCGATGCGGGAACGATATGGAGCGGAGAGCAGTGCGGGAGTGCTGCGGGGGGAAGGTGACTTGGCCGCATTTCCAACATTAAAATTTAAAGCGAGTTGCAGCATCCTCCTACGCCGTAGGTAGGGCCGGGGGGGCCGGGGGCTGCGGGAGGAGGAGTTTGCGCGGCCGCCTCTTCCTCAGGGATGCTCTGGGAAAGCTCCAGCACAAAGGAGCGGCGCGGAGGGCAGAAGCGAGCGGAGCCGGCGCCCCCCAGCCCCAACCCGGTCTCCGGGAGCAGGTAACGCTCCGCGCACATCGCTCCGTTCCCTCCGGATGGAGGTGGGGCACCAGTGGGGTCTGGGGGCGCGGGGAGCCCGCGGGCCGCCCCCACCTCGGGGCTAGAGCGGGGGGCGATGCCGCCCCGGGGCTCGGGGGGTCCTGTGAGCATCGCTCCGGGGGGTGCGGAGCCGGCAGGCGGGGCTACTCCTGCCGCTCCGTCTCCAAAAAATACACCCCACCCCTCCCATATATTATTCCCTATAATCCCATGAGAGCCTCGCGCCCCGGCAGGAGCCTCCGCTTCCGGGGGGTGCCAGACTGGGGCAGCCCGGGCCCCTTCCCTTTGTTAAGGCAGGGGCAGTCCCTCATCCCACAGCCTGTTCCCGGCCGCTTCCCGGCCCGGCCGGCGATCCCGCGTGATCCCGGTCCGGAGGCGGCACCGGGCAGCCTGGCCCACCCTGGACACAGCTTGCAGCCCCCGGCCCAAATCAGAACTAATTGCTGCACCGCTTGTTTGTATTTTTTTTCAGAATCCTCACCAAGAATAGGGCTCCTGCCAGGTAAATGGATTCTTGCCTGATTTTCAATGCCCCTGGGAAGAATTGTAGCCAAAATGCTGGTTTACTGCTTTGTCTCCTAATCCCCGTTTTCTCCTAAAGCTGGGGATCCTGGGTGGGGATTAGAGGCGAGGCTGGGGCCAACACTCCTGGGGCACAGCACAGCCCCTCCTTCAGAGTTAACCTGACAGATGCTCCTCTTGCGGAGCCATTTTCTCTCCCTCATTGTCTTGCAGCCTTTTGTGTGTGTGAGTAGGTCCTGCCCAGGGCCCCAGGAGGAGCCCAGAAATAATCAGGTTTTCTGACGTTCTGGGTTTTCAGGGAGCCTTTCACACCCTCACCCTCCCTTCTCCCAGGCTGCCCAGCCTCAGAGCTGCAGACAAAGGTGGTAGTGCCTGGCACTGCTGCAGCAGCACGGGAGCCTGGGATGTGCCAGAGCCTAGGCTCTGCTGGATGGCAGCAAGGGTCAGGCAGCGCTGGCAGGGCCCAGGGCAAAGGTATTTGGCCACCCTGCTGGGAGCTGGGGGACTGGGGTGCCCAGATGCCACATCCCACAGATCATCTCTCTGGGCACAGGCAGCTCATGGCAATGCCGTGCCTGCTGTGGCCTTATCTCCCTGCTCCTGCCTGCTGTGGAGCCTGTGCTCCTCTTTACTCCAAGGGGGGGTCTAGCCCCTGTTTAACCCAGGTGCTCAGCAGCACCGTATGTGCCACCCACCCTGTGTGGCAGAGGAAGCTCTGGCTCATGGCTGGCAATCACTGCTCACTGTGCCCCAGACAGAGTGTTTAGCTGAGCCCTGCCTGCACAAAATTGTTTTCCCTCCCTGTCTCCTGGGATGTGTTTCATTCCCGGGTGAGAGAGGCCATCCCACAGCCATCATGTCCCGCCTGCCTCACCACAGGCACCTCCCGCTCTGATCCCACCTCCCGCTCAGATCCAGGCAGGGGATCCATTTGTCAGATGCTCGATGGCATCTCCGGAGCTCATTCCCGCAGCTGGGTTGCAAATGCTGCCTGGACATGCTGTCCCCATGGGAGGGACTGTCCTGCCAGCAGTGCCTGCGGCATGTGGTGACAATGAACAGCAGGAAGCTGGAGCAGCTTCACAGCTGAACATGCAGAGTCATCACGGCCCAGCTCCCCCAGGACCTGCTGCAGTCCTGGCTTTTCCAGGTGGGCAGGGCAGGAGCAGGGCAGCAGCAGGAGAAAGGCAGGAGCAGGAGCAGAGCAGGAGCAGGAACCGGAGCAGGTCAGAAACAGGAGCAGGGCAGAAGCAGGAACAGGGCAGGCAGTGTGGCTGGCTGCAGACATGGGCTGGCTGCTGGCACCAGCCACGTGTCCCTGTATCCCTGTGGAGGTGGAGTAGCATCCACCACAGTGCAGTTGTGACTGCCAGCTGTCCCAGTACAACTGGTGCCTGCGAAACCACAGGGTCCCAGTGACCCAGCTTAACCACAGGGCAGGAGCAGAGCTGGCAGAGGCAGCAGTGGCAGTGGCAGTGAAAGTCAGTCCCTGCCCCCAGTGCAGGGGTTCCCACACCAGGTAGGGACAGTCTGGGGCATTGCCACCATTTCTGATGTGGTGGTTCCTGGTGCCCCCCTGTGCCTGGTGGTGGGTCTAGCTCCCCGCTCTTCAAGGGGAAAGGGACAGGAGGATCCCTGCCCAGCCCTCCTGCCAGGCTCCTGCCAGCTTGGCTCGGCTCTGCCTGAGGACGGTGCCGTGTGTCTCTCCCTTGCTGCGTTGGTTGTTTCTTTTGCAGCTGCTAATGACTGACCTGAAGTCTGTTCACACAGTCCCCTCGCGGCCTCCACAGCGCAGAGCCACACAGGATGGGGGGACATTGCACGGCACTTGCATAGCTGGTGACCACAGGTAGGATCCCCAGGGAGGGGACACAGGCAGTACCAGCCCCAAGCTCTCCCACCCCTAGCAAGCTGGGAGGGCTCTGGGCAGCCAGGAGCCTTCCTGCCCAGGTTCCAGTGGTGTCCAGGGGGTCACACCATCTCCAGGGCCACCTGCATGAGAGAATGCTCACCAGTGGGGAGGGGGTGGTTGCCACACTGCCCAGGGTCTCACAGCATCTCTGCTCCCCAGTGCCACCACCCCAGAGGCACGGCCTCAGCTCCTGCCTGGCCAGACCGGCTGTGCCTGGAGAGGAGCCAGGCTCGGGGAGCTGACATCGCCACCTGCACACAATGCCAGAGCCGGGCTGGCCCCAGCAGAGCAGCCTGGTGCTCAGTGCCATGGGCCAGAGCCATGAGCCTGGCCACTGCGGGGGACACAGCCGAGGACACGGCGCTGGGGACACCTGAGGACACGGGTCTGCACGTGCTCGCGGTTTTCCTGCAAGGTGCTGGGGTCCCCTTCCCTTCCGCTGCTCCACCCCAGCCATGGGCAGGATGAGACCCATCCCCTTCCCCCAGTGTAGGGAGAGGGAGAAGAGGAAGGCTACAGGGATGGAGCTGTGCCAGCTCCTCAATGAGACACAATGGCCAGAGCACAAAGGGATTCTGGTTGTCCCCACTGATCCTGCCTGTCCTTCTGTCTGTTGGTGAAGTCCTGGTGCTTTCTGCCCTGGAACTGCCTTGCAGTGCTAGTGTTGTGTTCCAGCAGGACCCTGTCTCCCCTGCCCTGTGGAGCAGCCTGGAGTGTGTGGAGGGACATGGGCAGTGAATCCTCCTCCCATGACCTCTGTGGGGGTGGCAGTGGCCCAGTAAGTGGCTGGGCTGTGGCTGCACCGAGCAGTCACTCCAGCCCCTGTCTCTACACAGGAGGGAGAGCTGGGAATGAGGTGGGCTGGGGGCTGAGGGCAGACACAGCTTGTGGCAGGTGTTAGAGCCTTGAAGTCCAAGCTGGAAAAGCATCCTCTTGGGGACCAGCAGGAGTTAGTGCTGCAGGAGGAGGTAACCCAGAGGGACATGGGGCAGAGGGTGTCCTGGGTGCCCCACCACAGCCCTGTTTCTCAGGGCACAGTGCTCTTACTGCCCCTCAGAGCACTGCTTAGCTCCATGGAGAGGCAGCTTCTGACAGGGAAGGGGTAAGCTGTGGACCACTTTTCCTCTGCTCCATGGCATGGTTTTCCCTGCTGAATCTCTTCCTCCCTTCACAGGCAATGGGAGCTCGGTGGAGACCCAGAGCAGCTCTCTGCAGAAGCCCTGCTCTTGCAGAGCTGCCCGTAGCCTTGCCCCAGGCATGGTCAGTGATGCTTTCACCCCTTTCCTCTCTGCTTCTTCCAGCTCCTTTAGTGCCCTGACCTGAGTCACTGCCTTGCACTGCTGGGACTGTCTCCTCCATGCATCCAGTCTCCCACCCTCACCAGTACCAGGAGTGGGAAACACACTCTGTGTGGGGACACACTGCTTGGGGCATTTGGTACCTCACTGGCCTGGATGAGAGGGGCAGATCCTTGCAAAGCATTTAACTCAGAACAGGTTACATCATGCAGGGTAAACCCTCCAATAACACCTTCCCAAATCTCGATGTGGTAGCAACGCCCCAAAACGCCTCCTGCTCTTGTGAGCCAGAGCCCTGCTGCTCCCTGGGCCCGGCTCTGCATGCTGCCGCTGCGCTCCGACATTAACCTACTAACCCGCTGGGACCCTGTGCCCTCACCGGGGGCTGGCACAGCCCCTGGCACACGGACTAACCCACTAACTGGCCCCAGTGCATGCCCTACTAACCCACAGCCAGCCCTGCCTCACACCCACTAACTGTGGCAGCAGTGCTGCCTTTAAAGGGGAACGGAAAAGCTGGGAAAGGAGGTTTGGAAGTGCCAGGTGTCAGTGCCAGGCTGTACAGGCAGGGACGGGCAAGGGCAGCCCCAGCTGTGGGCAGGAGAGGGGATTGGCAGCCCCTGCCCAGCATTGGGCCGTGTCCATCAAGCTTTGCCTATACAGGCAGCCCCAGCCCCAGCTGTGAGCAGGAGGGAGGACTGGCAGCCCCTGCCCATGCAAGCAGCCCCTGTTCTGGGCAGGAGAGGGGACCAGCAGTCCCTGCCCCAGGCAGGAGAGGGAACCAGCAGCCCCTGCCCTGGGCAGCCCTTGCCAGCACGAGGAGAGGGTTTCTCCTCGCACGCCCTGCCCGGCTCTGCCCGTGAGCCTGTTGCTGACTAGGAGCCTAAAACGGTTTTATCAGCAGAAGCTTTTCAGTTCCTTTTTAAGCCAGTAGATCTCTGTTACTAACACATTCCTGAACTGAATTAAACAAACTAACCATTGCTGCTTTTCTCTTCATTTCTCTTCCAGTGTGTGTGTCCTAAGGCAGACCAGTGCCCTGCTTCTGTTACTAACCTGTACTTCTGTTAGCACTGTACTAATCGTTCCTGACCTGTTTCTCTCTTGCTACTAACCAACTCTCTTTGCACTTTGCCTCTCGGATGCTATTTGCCATGACAAGTGACGGTGGCTCCTCCTGGACTTCTGGTTATCAACCTGCAGCACCCCAATTTTCAGTGCTGCTGAGCATTCCTGGCTCCCATTCGGTGCGATGGGAAGGAAGATGCCTTTACTGGAGGGTTTTGAAAATTTCCCCATTTGCCTTCTGTTTTCCGAGAAATTTCATGTGGCACAATGAGGAAAAGAGGCTGAGAGGCAGTAGGACAATACAAAACCATTAATAATGACCAGTAATGGCTGTAAAGATCCAGCAAACCCAGAGAGATTCAGCCACAGAGTGATGCTATTGCCCTTGAGCCCCACCAGAGCCTGAGTTTGGAGCTCTCCTGGGGCCCCACGTCATCTGTCATGGGGAATGGTCTTGTGCTGCTCCCTGAATTGGCTCTCGGACACTCCCAGGCTCCTCTCTTCACTCCCTTTGTCTTTCCACAGTTTATCTTGTGCCTGGTGCATGTGGAAGCTGTTGCCAGCAGCGTGGGCGTGACTAACCATACCTGTGTGTGACAGCTGGGCTGGTAATGAGCCAAGGGCAGGAGGGGGCAGTGGGTGTCAGAGGGGGCTCTGCCATCAGGCTGTGATGGAGGCACGGCCTGGGCTTTGCTTTCTGTTTGTCTGTCAGTTGGAGGAACGTTCCCAACCTCTCAGGGGTCCTGCCAAGGTGAAGGCTCCAGGACCTGGCCCATCAGTGTAGGTTTGGACATGGGCTGGTGACCCAGGGCCAGGCACCACCAGTGTTCAGGACTGCCATGACCAGCGGGGCAAAGCCAAGCCCTGTGTGCCAGCAGAGGATGGTGGCCCTGTGCTGCTGGTAGGCATGGGCTGGCTCATGAGGACACCCCAGACCGTGGCTGCTGTGGGGACACAGCAGTGTGGGGCTGTCCCCACCAAGGGTCAGGGCAGCTCTGTCTGCGGGTTACAGATCCAGGCAGCATCCAGCTCTGGCTGCTCTTTCTTGGCTTTGCTTTATGCTCACTAACCCCATGGTCTCCCCAGTCACTATCACTGGCTGGTGTCACCATCACCCCACAGCAGCTCCTGCCTTCAATGGAAGGCAGAACCAGAGTGGGGTCCCCCTGGAGGGCTGGGTCCACCCCCTAATGCTGCCACTACTCCTGGGCATCCCAGCTCTGCACTGACACAAGCGTGCTCCTGCAGCTGGGGTGTCACTGGGCTCTCAGGCTGATGGGGGTCCCCTCCTCACCCAGCTCCGTGTCTGTCCAACCTACACCTTATTCCACTAACCATGTGCCTACCCTTCCCCCACACAGCTGGCACCAGGGTGGGTTTTTGGGCTGATGCTCCTATGTTTGATGGAAGGGGGACACAGGGCCCTGCTGTGGGCTGGGGGCAGAGGAGGAAGCAGGGCTGTGGGGACAGGAATGGGCTAGGAGGACAAGCCAGGTTGGGCACAGGGTGGGCGGGTTCAGGGCTCCTGCACAGGTAGGAGCACCACCAGCACTGGGCTGGGGTTGTCAGAGCCCACCATTGTGAGGGACTCTCCTCCCTGCCCCATAACCCCTCTTTCTGCTCCAGAGCAGCCCTCCTGCACCCAGGGGGACCTCCCCAGGCTGGTCACTGAGGGGAGTCATGGGACCACAAGTCACCCTGATAGCTAAGAGGATGCACTGGGCAAATGTGGCCCTCCAGGGGCAGCCAATGCTGCCCACAGACCCGTCAGTGGGGACAGGCCACTTTGGGTAGCTGCTCCCCTTGCAGAGCCACCATTGCTGAGCTGAGCAGGTCTGGAGGGCAGGGAGGCTTCCCCAAACAGCCTGGTTGCTCCTTTCCTCTGCTCCAGCACCTTGGGGCTCCCTGCCCCTGCTCCCCAATTCCTGCAGCTGGCAGAGGAGTTGGTCAGTCTGTCTGTCTGTTTCTCCCACTTCGCTGGTGCAGGGAGGAGTGGGGCTGGGGCACCCCAGCAGCAACATGGGCAGAGGTCAGAAGGTGTCACTCAGCCCTGGGTGCACCATCTTGCCCAGGGTGCTCCAGACCAAGCTGGCCGGGACTGCCCCTGCTCTGCAGGACCCCACACTCACCCCATGTCAGCACGGTGGGAGCGGGCACAGCCACGGTGGGACTGGACTGGACACTGGAGTAGGGCGTGGGGATGCTCTGGGGCAAGGAGTCCTGGAGTGGCCTCAGCGGTGTGAGCAGGAATCCCGCAGGTCACCACGGCCCTGAGGATGAACCCACAGCCCCGAGGATGTCCCCGCTGCCTGTAATGTCTACTGTGAACATGGCAAGTGTGCAACCACCCTGCAGTCTGGTGTCTTTGTGAGGTGTGGGGGGCTGAAGGAAGCGGGTGGGGTGGGGCAGGGGGTGCCCCAGCTCCCACGGGACACACTATGGGGTGCGGGGTGGTCAGGACAGATGGTTCTCACCGCAGCCACCTCGGCATGTTGCTGAACATCTGGGGCCACCCGGGGCGGGCGGAGGGACAGGAGGGGATAGAGACGCCCCGGGCCCTGAGTGGACGGTCCTGTGGGGACGCAGGAGGGGGATCACCCCCCACCCGCGCACCGCCAGAGGGTGGTCCTGGGGGCGGTGGTGATACCACCCAACGCGGGCAGCGATCGGGGCGGGCAGCGCGAGGTGCGGGGTGCAGTGCGGGCACGAACCCCACACCGCGCTCCCAGCCGGGAGACCCCGCGGCGGGGCCGTGCCCGGGGGTCGATCGGGGAAGCCGCGAGCAGCGCGGAGCGGGGAGGCAGCGGCCGGGGGCTGCGGGGGCGGGGGGCCGGTCTGGGGGGCTCGGGGCACCCGCAGGTACCGGGCCGGGCCGGGAGGGCGGCGGCAGGTGGAGCTCGTGCTCCAGGAAAGTCCCTGCCCCGGCTCCATCCCTGGAAGTGTTCAAGGCCAGGCTGGACGGGGCTTGGAGCAGCCTGGGCTAGTGGAAAGTGCCTCTGCCCATGACGGGGTAGTGGAACGAAATGAGCCTTCTTCCAACCCAAACCATTCCATGATTCTGTGATTCCTGCCTGGGACACGATGGTCACACAGAGCAGGGCGCAGTGCCTGTCCGTCCCTCTCCCGTGCGGGAGGCTGGAGACCCCCCCGGCTGTCGCGGGGAGGGGTCGCGACTCCATCCCCTGCCCGGCCATTCCCGGCGGAGCGGGAAGGCAGCATCCAAAACGCCGTATTTATTTTCCCCGCCGTGAGCAGCATTTTGACATGTCACAGTGAGTCTCTTCAACGTGTGTTGACAGGGAATGTGTACAAGCAAGAGAAATGCTGTTCATTTGCATCAAATTGCGCCGCGGTTCTGTGAAATGGATGCGTGGCATTTCGCGGAGCGGCTGCGAGCGGCGCTGGGGTCTCTGCCACCGAGGGGCCCTGGGGGAAGGGCTTTGCCGGAGGGATTGTTAAAGCCCCGAGCACCGGATGATGGCCATGGAGCTGCCAAAAGAGCTGGGCAGGCGAGCAGGACGCCAGGCCGGGGAGCAGGTCCGGGGCAACTCTGTGTCTGGAGCCTCGAGAGTGCAGGAGGCTGCTGCTGCCATGGGAGCTCATCCCCACCTCATGCCCCTGCTCCTGAGTCCCTCCCCTGCCCCTGGCTCTCCCACTGTCTGGCATTCCCTGTGCTGGCTGCTCACCTCTGGGCAAGGAAAGGCTTTCCTCCCCTAGAGCTGTGCCCACCGCCAGGAATCTTCTTGTTTCCCAGGTAGTTCTGACTATTCCATATCTTGCAGCAAGCAGGGCTGAGAGAGCCATATGTGGAATAATGAGTGAAGCTGGAGCTGAAGGCAAGATATTCTGGCACATCTTGAAGCAATTTAAGTCTCAGTTACAGAGCTCTGCACATGTGAAGCCGCTGTCCTTCTCTCTTCCACCTTTGTAGAACAAGGCAGTGGCTGCAGCTTAGTTGGGCACCAGGATAATGTCTTTAGGCTGACAGAGAGTAGGTTTAGACCACATATTAGAGAGAAATTCTTCCCTGTGAGGGTGGTGAGGCCCTGGCACAGGTTGCCCAGAGAAGCTGTGGCTGCCCCATCCCTGGAAGTGTCCAAGGCCAGGTTGGATGGGGCTTGGAGCAACCTGGTCTAGTGGAAGGTGTCCCTGCCCATAGCAGAGGGTGGAACTGGATGGCCTTTAAGGTCCTTTCCAACCCAAATCATCCTGTGATTCCATGCCATGCCCAGGGCTCCTGGATCCTGGTTTCTCCAGGAGTGATAGCATTTGGGCTCTCCCCTCTGCCGAGAGCGGGCTCTGGGCCTGCGCTGCCGCACTCTCATTAATGCACGGGATTGTGAGGCAATCCATAATTAGATGCTAACTGAGTTTTCTCTAAGTTGGGTGAGAGAAGGTCACCAAGGTAGGACTGGAGTCAGCTTATTGTTATTATCAATCAATAACCTATTTATTTTCCAACATTCCTATTAACCTCTGCGAGCCACTCGCCGTTTCCCTATGAAAGGGCTGTGCCGCTGCTTTGCTGACTGGACAACTCTGATTGAAAATGGAGCAGTGACCTGACCCCAAAGGCAGAATCCAATTAAAATCATTTTCATTTGTAGATTAATATTTTTTAACATGTTCTACATCCCTTGCTTCAGCATTTCACACAGGAACTGCTGCCTCATTACATGAGCACCTGTATCGATAGAGCCATAAGGAAATAATTACAATTAATTAGTCATGGAGAAAATAGGACCGTCCTTTTCCAGGACTGAGGAACAATGTCCAGTTGTGATGTGCCATCCCTGTGGTGGCAGTGACCAGGATGCCTGTGGCTGGTGGGACAGGGCTGCTGTGCTTGTGGCGAGAAGAGGGACAGGGTGGTCTCCGCATCTGGCTCCTTGTGCCACTGTCCAAGCACCAGCCCCAGGGAGGAGGGTGGGTGAGGGTCACTGGTGGTCCAGCCTGTGCTGATGGAAGAGACCACATGCCCTGGCACTTCACAACACACAGGGTCCCACCCTCAGCCCCTCGCAGACCCTGGTGCTGAGTGCTGCTGAGAGCAGTAATTGCCTGATGGAGCTCGGTCTCAAGGTAAAGCCTATTATTAATAACGTGACTTTGATAATAAAAAGATTAAAATTAGGTTTATGGTTTGCTGACTGCCCTTTCCACACTGTAATCATCCCTCATTCATATTCATGAGCCTCTCATTAGTAACCACTGCTTACAAGGCGGCTAAACAGTCCAACCCTTCAGCAGCCGCCATCTCCTTAACTGCTTAACTTGCTCGCTGATTACCAACATCAAATTAACTCTGCAGAACGGATCTAATAAGCTTCCCGGTGGCTTCAAACCTCCTTGAAAATTGCTCTGATGTCTCCATGGGGCCCTATTAAAAAAAATCCTTCCCCTGTGAGTAGAACAGGGAACTCATCGGGCTGCGGCCACGGCGCTGCTGGTGCCCAGCCCTGTCCAGGCCCATGGCCCAAGTGCCCATAGGCAGCTCCTGGGATGCCCCCACAGTGCCCAGCAGAGCAGCCGTGCTTCGTGTCGTGTTTTTGCAATGGGAATGGCTGTTTGAACCAATGAGATGTTTTCCCTGATCCTTCATTAAACACTCCAAGACTTAATTTGACTATTTGGTAGCTTGGGGGTTGTGTAACAAAAGAATAAATAAGAACGACCTTTCCATTTAATTACGTTTTTTTTTAGATGTGGGAAATGCCTTGACTTTCCAGCAGTGTGTGTGCGGTGTTTAGGAGCGAGGAGACCAGTCTGATGATGCTGACCCCAGTCTGGGCCAGGTTTGGGGACAGCAGAACACCCCACAGTGCTGGGGACAGCACAGTGCCATGGGGGACAAGCCACGGGCTGGAGATGAGACTCAGCACAGAGCATGGGGGTGGCTCCCTGGCAGCTAGCTCTGATGAACATCTCAGCATGTCCCTGCAGCAGCCAAGGCCGTGTGGAGGAACGATGGTGCCAAGCATCAGGGAGTGAGGGAGCCTTCTTCCCTCATTGCCATAGCAACTGCGCATAGGGATGGAGAGATGAGGGGCTGGGGGGATGCATCCCTCCCATTACACAGACCCCCCCTGGGGCGACTGTGGAGACATCCCCAAAATACCCTCTGAGAGGGATGGGTGGGCTGCACCTGCTGGGATGTCATGGACCACCATCACCCAGACCCCCTCTGGTCCCCAGCCCACCTGGTGCTCAGGACCCCCTGCATGCAGCCAGACCCACTGCAGCCAGGTTGGATGGGACATCCAGAACTGGGACATTCCTTGGGACAGCAGGCAGAGCTGGCTGCAGCTGCCAATGCCTGGGAAATGTGTGCAAAGTGGAAGGCTGAGCCCCCAGACCCTTCCTTGTGTCCCCCAAACTCTTGGCACAGGAGCCCCCTGCCTTGCCCAGTGCTGATGGAGTAACCTGGGTGGCTGCAAATTCCCACATCCAGCTCATATTTCCTGCCTGTGGAGAGTGTGTCTTGCAGCAAGGCAGAGACAGGTGAGATTCAGGCAGAAAGTAGAGAATTTGTGTACAGGTCCCCTGCTTTGTGGCACTGGGGGCTGGAGGGGGAGGAGGCAGCAGCCAGCCATGCTGCCCCCAGCTCTCTGTGTCCTGGACCCCTCGTTCCAAGGCTGTGAGGGACAGGGATCCTCCACTTAGTCCTGAGCCCTGGAACCCCACAACTTTGGGGTCTAGTATTGTGCTGTCCCCAGAGCCAGCAGCATTTCCCTGAACAAGCAGAGGAGTCAGAGATGGTGTGCCCATCTCCCGCCCTGGGGTGGGCAGAGGATCCTGTAGCCCTGCTGCACACAATCTCAGCCCCACACCATTCCAGCCCCATTCCAACCCTGTCCCACACCATCCCTGAGCAAGGAGCCCCCTGTGGAAGAGCTCCCTGAACCACAGCTTGGCCACAGGGCAGGCAGAGGGGCTGGACATGCAGGCTGGGACAAGGGCACGTGGCCACCAGCTGTTGAGCAGGGAAGGAAGGGGATCCCCAGCCTTCTGCCCAGCCAGAGGAGACCTTTCTCATCTGGCCCCAGCCCCACTCAGATCTGGGGCCCCTCAGGTAGGTAGAAGCCATTCTGCACCCTAATCCCCTACTTTCACTCCCCATCCCTTACCTACAACCCTCCTCCCTGCACATTCTCCCTACATTCAGTCTGATATTAATAATAGCTTATTTCAAGCTTTCAGCCCACTTTCTCCCAAGAAAATATTTATCCTGAACTCCATTTTCCATTTCTTTTCAATTACCCTGTGTCTGATCACCACCCCACAACTCTCCTCTTTAGCCATGAACACAAATCCTATTGCCTTTTCTCTTTCCGTGTATTTGCCCTT